TTCTACGCACCCTTATGAAAATACGTCACTGGTAGACCGGAAACACAGTAGATTTTTTGAGTGCGTTTTGTTCGTTTTGTTTACCTAAATTATATCGTTTTTTTCACTTTTATAAATATATTCCTAAAGTAAGTAGATAGCATGTATCAAATATACAATCGTTTAGTTATCAATTACATACCTTTAAACTTTTTTTTCTACACCCGTATTATAATAATGCACTTATATGCCCATAATCCGTTTCATAATGATACCCATTATGATACAGATTTTTCATTACGATACAGATTTTTAATCAATAGAAACCTACTATTTTTCAATCAAGCATGCTGTTTGACGTTTGTCCTAGGTTTCTATGTAATTGTTTTAGTTGTCAAAACGTATTAAATTTTCGTAGATAGCTAAACTTCGATAATTATAATATTAAAATGTCTCATATCAGCGATATAGAAGACTCTTCCACACATATCGGAGAAAGCAGAAAATACAGTACAAAATATTTTGCAGCAAAAATCTAGGGAAATACCAATACCCGAAGTAATACCATTAATTACAATTTTGTAGAATTTTTTATAGAAATACGAGTAATTACTGTTATTGTGTTCAATACCAATATAAATATAATATTTATAGGTCTTGATTATTTATCGGGTGTAGAAAAAATAGCGTATGCAACTCTCATGTAATGGTTATTAAAACACTCGCATAGACCATACGAAACTCGCCTTTGGCTCGTTTCGTATCCCGGTTAATGCTCGTGTATTAATAACCATCATTACATGATCGTTGCATAATATACTATTTTATGACCTGTAAAGAATATTTTGAAATAAAATAAAAACGTATATGTCAAATTTATTGATGTTTTTTTTAAAAGTTTGGTTAGAATTAAATGTCAGTGGAACCAAAATGACATCACACTGAACTACCGCATTCGTCTAGTTCGCTGTCAAAATTAGATACCTTCGCGATTCCAAGGTCGTTTAGGATTCCTCCTTCCTGACTATATGTATTCAAAGCTGGCGTAAATATTAGATATTAATTTTTAAGTTATTGCATAGCTTTTATGGCGGGCTTTGAGCGCGGCGATCGAATCAAGAAATTCCGCAAAAATAAACCATCGAAAATCGAAAAATTGAAAAATCAAAAAATCGAAAAATCGAAAAATCGAAAAATCGAAAAATCGAAAAATCGAAAAATCGAAAAATCGAAAAATCGAAAAATCGAAAAATCGAAAAATCGAAAAATCGAAAAATCGAAAAATCGAAAAATCGAAAAATCGAAAAATCGAAAAATCGAAAAATCGAAAAATCGAAAAATCAAAAAATCGAAAAATCGAAAAATCGAAAAATCGAAAAATCGAAAAATCGAAAAATCGAAAAATCGAAAAATCGAAAAATCGAAAAATCGAAAAATCGAAAAATCGAAAAATCAAAAATTCGAAAAATCGAAAAATCGAAAATTCGAAAAATTCGAAAAATCGAAAAATCGAAAAACTCAAATAGCTTTTCTACCAAATTATCAACAAATTGCAAGAAATTGAGCTAAGGACCAAGGAAATCATTAATCTGGAAAAAATTAATTCATAACACTGAGGAACAAATTGAAAAAAGTCAGCAGTCAGGGATATATTAGTGAATTCCAAATGTATCTTGGTTTTTGTTTGTCTATCCCTGTCTCAACAAGAGAGGAAGAAGGTGAGAGACCCAGTCAACCGCTACCGCTCCATTCTGGGTTCGACGGATGGCAGACCAGGAAGAACCAGCATAGTAAGACACAAGATTGACACTGGTGAGGCGCGCCCTATCCGCCAAGCTGCTCGACGACTGCCCCAAGTCAAGAAGGAAGAGGCGGAGAGAACGCTTCAGGAGATGGTGAAAGACGGAGTGGTTGAACCTTCCAGCAGCCCCTGCCAAGAATCGACGACGCCCTAGATGCACTAGCGGGTTCCAAGCTGTTCTCTACCCTGGATCTGAAGAGCGGTTATTGGCAGGTAGAAATGGATCCCGCCGACAAAGAGAAGACGGCGTTCTCCAGCGGAACTGGTCTGTGGCAGTTTACAGTCCTTCCATTTGGTCTTTGCAACGCTCCAGCCACTTTTGAACGACTGATGGAAAACATCCTCAGGTGTCTATCCTGGAAAACCTGTCTCGTTTATTTAGATGATGTCGCCATACTGGGGCGGACGTTTGACGAACACCTGCTAAACCTCGAAGTGGTTTTCAAGAGACTTCAAGCTGCAAACCTGACGTTAAACGTGAAGAAATGCCACCTGTTCCAAACCGAGGTCAGCTACCTAGGACATATAGTTAGCGGAGAAGGTGTCGCCGTAGATCCAGACAAGATTCACGTAGTCGAGCAATGGCCAGTCCCCTCCGATAAGCACCAACTAAGAAGCTTCCTTGGACTTTGCCCTTACTACCGCCGCTACGTCAAGATGTTCGGAGACATCGCCAAGCCGTTGACCCGATTGACTGAGGAAGGTAGAAGCTTCAGCTGGGATGAAGAATGCCAAGAAGCCTTCGACGCTCTGAAGAAACAGCTGACGTCGACTCCAATCCTAGGCTATCCACTTCCCGAAGGAAAGTTCATCCTCGATACTGATGCCAGCAACGTGGGAATCGGTGCCGTTTTATCACAGCTCCAGGATGGTCGGGAAAGAGTCCTTGGTTACTTCAGCAAGACGCTGTCCAAACCTAAACGTAACTACTGTGTCACCAGGCGAGAACTTCTAGCAGTGGTGAAGTCCGTTGAGCATTTCTACAAGTACCTGTATGGGCGAAGGTTCCTGATCAGAACTGACCATGCCAGCTTGAAGTGGTTACTTAATTTCAAGAATCTTAAGGGGCAAGTAGCGAGATGGATGGAAAAACTGCAGGAATACGACTTCCACATCGAACACCGACCCGGGGTGAGCCACCGCAACGCCGACGCCCTTTCTAGAAGACCTTGCCAACAGAATTGCTCCCATTGCAGTCACCTTGAGGAGAAGGAAACCAGCCTGCGCCAGACTAAAGTCGTCAGCGAGGAATGGTCCAAAGGGAGGATTCAAGAGCAGCAAGAGAGCGACCCTGACCTGAAAAGAATCAGAGAATGGGTGTCAGCAAATCGTCGTCCAACCTGGCAAGAGGTATCGTCATCTTCACCTGGACTGAAATCCTACTGGGCTCAGTGGAACTCCTTGGTGATTGAAGAGGGGTTGCTAAAAAGGATCGTTGAAAATGCCGATGGGACTGAATCAAAGAGGCAGACGCTAGTCCCGAAGACCTGCATACCAGAGATACTACGACAGCTTCACGATGGAACGTCAGGAGGACACCTGGGTGTGAAGAAGACGTTACAGAAGGTTCGAGAAAGGTTCTACTGGGTGAGCTGCTCCGACGACGTAAGAGACTGGTGCCGAAGATGTGCCACCTGTGCGGCGAGCAATGGACCACAACGCAAGCGTAGGGCTGGAATGCAGCAGTACATCGTAGGAAGCCCATTCGAGAGGATCGCTGTAGATGTGCTGGGTCCTCTGCCAGAAACCGATGCAGGGAAGAAGTACATTTTCGTCGTAATGGACTACTTCACCAAGTGGGTAGAAGCGTATGCTGTTGCCAACCAAGAAGCTGCCACCCTCGCTGACATCCTGGTGAAAGAATTCATCAGCCGATTTGGGGTGCCCTTGGAACTACATTCCGATCAAGGAAGGAACTTCGAAAGCGAGCTGTTCCAAGAAGTCTGCCAGAAGTTGAGAATCCGGAAGACCAGAACAACGGCCCTACACCCGCAGTCCGATGGAATGGTGGAACGCATGAACAGAACATTGATCAGGCACTTATCGAAGGTTGTCTCCGATCATCAGCGGGACTGGGACGAGCACATTCCACTGTTCTTGATGGCCTACAGATCAGCTGTTAATGAATCCTCAGGACAGACACCGTCAAAAGTACTCTTTGGTCGAGAGATTAGGCTGCCATGTGATCTGATGTTTGGTTCCAAACCTGGTGAAGACATGGCCGGAGAAGTTTATGTGTCAGACCTCCGCAGGAAGATAAGAGACACCCATGATCTAGTACGGACCAACCTGCAGTTAGCTGGCGACCGAATGAAGAAGTACTACGACAGCCGAGCAGCAGAGTCCTGCTATAAAGAAGGTGACCTGGTATGTCTCTACAACCCACGAAGAAGGCGGGGCTTATGTCCAAAGCTGCAGAAGAGCTGGGAGGGTCCATATGTCATCAGGAAGAGGATCAATGACGTAGTCTATCGAATCTACAAGGCTCCCAGAGGAAAACCGATAGTAGTCCATTCTGATCGACTAGCACCATTCGCCGGAGACCACGATGAAGGTGTACGAATACAGCGGCTCCAGGACGGAGAGAACTTGGACAGAAAACCGTCCCCTGTTACTTCCACAAGACATCTTACTGCAAAGAAGGTACCAATTGCCGGTTCAGCCACAACCTTGAAGTGTAACGGTTTGGCTCTACGGACGAGACAGTGCCAGGGTTTGTCACAACAGTACGAGACAACGAACCGTCAAGGTGACAGGAAACCCAACCTACAATCGGGCAGGCTGACAGAAACTGGGAGAAAGTGTGAAAAATAATCGAGAACGGTCATGGAAGCGGTTACCATAGATTATTGATGATATGCACTGTCAATTCCTGGGGAGGATAAAAAGCCAGTCAGCGCGTGGCGGATCAACGTTTCACATTTATAAACCGTTATAAATTCAGTTGTAATTAGTAATAATTGTAAATAGTTTACGCGTTCGGATAGTTATTTTGTATTTTAATTAAATAAATAGTTTCAACCCACACTCGTGTTACAATATAAATGTTCTCTGGGACTGGCTCAAGGTGTTAAAATAAATCAGCTTGTAAAGAAGTTTTCAATAGTTATGATCTAGCCTTTTGGTAAACCACTAAAGTCAAAACGTATCTATATTTCAGAAATCATCTAAAATTTATTTTATAGGATTTCTGTAATTTCGCCTAAACTTAATTTTATACCTTTTTTGCACTGTTCTGGTGTATTTTGATCCACAAGCTGCTGCATTTATATTTTTCAACTGAGAAGTGATTTCGGTGATGAAGTCGGCCATGATTTCTGAAATTAAAAAAAAAATTGTAGTGACTTCAAGTAAAAACGTACCAGTATTTCAGAGTAATTCACCCTTCGGCTACACTCATGTTTAGCAACAGCTCAAGAGGAAATTGATATTTGGAAATTGGTATATTTGACAAACATATTTAGTTAATATTTGCATTATATTATGGCATCTAACGGTTCAACGACGTGCTGAAATGGTTAAAATTTATTTTCAAAATCAGTACTCTATTTCGTATAGAATTCTACGAACGACATAATACCAGTCTTAAAAAAAATATAAAAAATATTTTTTATAATTGTTGTGATCGTGATTACCTGTATTGATAAACCACGTATGCAGCAACACAGCTTTTAAATTTTTTCGACTCTTCTCTGCTTCGGCTAATGGACTGTCGTAATTTCCTTATGGAATAAAACTCGCAAAATCATCGTAGAATAACACCTTTTATTTATGACTCTTCATAAATCTTCAGTACACTTATTTACAAAAACTTTTTTACATATTTATTTACATTCTAAATACTATCTTTGCTGAGAAAAACATTTTCTTTTTAAAATAACATTTTTATGTTGTGTAAGAGCGAACTCAATACACGTCTGTTTGCTTCGGTGACTTGTTAAAAAGTGAGTTAAAAAATAACATTTTTATGTTGTGTAAGAGCGAACTCAATACACGTCTGTTTGCTTCGGTGACTTGTTAAAAAGTGAGTTTCTTTTTTGGTTAGCTACGTATATGTTGAGGGAGATAGAAAGCGATAGAGGGAGACAGATGGAACAAATGCATTGTGTCGGCTAGTCAGGTGTGATCCTGTTTTGCCCGTTAACGTGGGTAATGTCATGTAGACCATGAAAGCAGGTGTTTACAACGATTTTTTATATATATTCAACGGACCACCCAAAGCGTGGTGCGCAGGACCGGCTTCAAATGTTTTGATATGTTTTGATTTCGAAACATCCTCCCCCCACGAAAAAGAGGTCAGATGAATAAGTGAAGTTTAAATAAATGTATTGATTGTTTAAATGTATTTAAGCTACAGCATTGGTTTCAGTCTGGACCTGCTGGCGAACACATCCCACTTCAGTGTCCTAGCCCTATCCCTGTGACCTGATGTACCTTGCTTATGCTTTTTACTATATACAAATAATGAATTGGAACATTGGAACGTTAGAATGATTGAAGGAATGTGATTAGAACAATTAGTAATATGAGCGCTGAAACTATATTCAGGCTTTAGAAGGGGTCTACTATAAGATCACCCTGTATATAATGAAACGAAAAGAAATATGAGCACTGAAACTATATTCAGGCTTTAGAAGGTGTCTACTATAAGATATCACCCTGTAATGAAAAAAATTATGAGCACTGAAACTATATTCAGGCTTTAGAAGGTGTCTACTATAAGATCACCCTGTAACGAAAAGAAATATGAGCACTGAAACTATATTCAGGCTTTAGAACAAAAAACTTTGTAAAGAGGGATTAGTAACCCAAGAGTGTCCTTATTTTAGGATCACCCTATGTAAATGTCTCATTTTAGAGTACATTATGTAAAAGTCGAAGAGAAAGAAGGTAGATAATAGAAGAAACGAAGAAATTAAAAACCGCGGAACTCGAGGACAACTGAATTGTCCGAGACTCCTTTTATTTATATTTTACCCCTAAACAGCCCCCGGGTTATGGCTGTTAAAATTAAATGTACTACAGTCCGCAATATTATGGTTTGGGCACGGAATCCTTAGGTACCTTGTGCGAGATACTTCCGGATTCAGGCCATGGGTGGGTTTCACCGCGTCGCACTGACGGGTGTCGCCCAGGTATGCGCGTAACGCAACATACAGTGGTTTGCGGACTTGGAAGAAGAAGATAGAAAAGATTGACTCTAACTGTTGATAAAAATAAGCAAAAAGGAAAGTTAAAACAAGGCGGTGAAATGATCAGTTGCTAAATAGCCAACTGTCTAAGGTTGAACGTCGTCATACCTGTGCAAAGGTACCACCTTGGTGATTGGTCTTATGCTAATGCTGCCATTTGATAAAATTTTGAGCGACCGAACATTACCGTCCTTACCGGGGTAGGTTTCTAAGACCCTGGCTAACGGCCAAACAAGAGGCGGAGACTCTACATCTTTTAATAATACAATAGCAGATGTATTATTGTCAAGATGTAAGTCAACTTGTTGATTAGATGACTGAACATTGTCTTTATTTTCGTTAAGATTAGTTAATATTTTATGAAGCGTAAAATTGTGTTTTCCCAATAGGGTATGAAGTTCTTTTTCGAGAAGTTTTAATTGAGAAATGGTATTTGACCCTGTTAATATGTCATCGACATAAGTTTGGTTTAGTAATGAATCTGATGCTAAAAAAAATTGAGGATTTTGTTGTGCAATATCCTTTAATACCCTGCAGGCTAAAAATGGTGAAGATTTATGTCCAAATGC